AAAAAAACAAACAAAAACAACAAAACACTCAAATCAAACACAGATAGGCAAACAGAGCACATTGTCATTTCGGTTGTGTTTGAACATTTCTGTCTTATTCTGCCCTCTGAGTCCATTACCTCTCTGTAAAGAGCTGGTTAGCATGCTTCATCACCAGTCCCCTGGAATCATGATTGAAAGAATGTGAATTCTAATAGAGAGGACGTTTATAGGCAAGTGTTGGCCAGGAAAAGGTGAGTGGAATGAGAGGGCAGTCCATTGACGTGGCCTCTCCATAGGCCATGATAATGTTGACCTGATTGTATTTTTGGAGAGAACCACAAAAGAAAAGGGTCAGAATAAATAGGAAACTGTGTAGTCCCAAGGAGTTCAGAGCTGAGTGTATTGGGTCCTTCTGGTAAGGTCTTTTGAGGTCCAGTTTAGAGGGTAGAATGGCAGCAGCAGGGGAGAAAATGCTCAGGATGAGGATGAGTCAGCAGGGTCCAGGGGAATTCAAACATGAGTGCAAAAAAGATTTATCACATGTAAGAAGAAAACTACCAGCCCCCCCTCCAAGTGTAAAATCTGGTGTGTATTAAGTTAAAATATATATTCTATGATTCTTAATTCCTAGGGGACTGTATCTATTCTGGGATATTGTGCCAAGAATCATTTGGATATTGTTTTAAAGGTTCTTAAAACATTTCAAGCAGATCAGAAGTCCTTCTCAAGTCGCTGTAAGGTAAAAGACACAATTTGCCCTTAAACTACTTCGTAATGTCAGGCATAAACCATAACTGTTTCCTTAGGCTAGACATAGCCAAAAACACAGACTTGTGGAAATGAGAATGGGAAATGGGAAGCCATGCAGATTTTTTATTAGCCTCTCTCATTTACACTTGTGGTCAAGATAGGGGAATGTAAAATGGTACAGTCAAGTAGATTGGTAACCAGTTAAATGATCTAAATCAAAGTGTTTTGATTGATGAGTCACTGTTACCTAGAGCAGGAATTCTTAACCTGGGATCCATGAACTTGTGACTTTAAAAAAAATTATTTTGATAATTATATTTCAATAAAAATTTATTTCCTTGGTAATTCTATGTATTTTATTTTTATGCATTTAAAATCATTCTGAGAAAGGGTCCCTAGGCATCACCTGACTGCTAAAGGGGTCCATGATGCCAAAAAAGCTAAGAATCTCCAACCTAGACTGAAACTTCTAGGGACTTATTATAAGACTCTAACTTTTGTTTGTTTGTTTACCTATACCTTGCAAGAAGGCATAGGTGACATACGGTTGAGACCTGTGGATAATGTGAAGCTGGGAAATAGGCTTAATTCATTGAATGACAGAATAAATATCCCAAAATACCTCAATAAGTTGGAAAAATAGGCCGAAGCTGATGTAGAAATCTTAAGTACTGCATTTCAAAAACCCAAAGTGTGAGTACAAAATAGCAGAAATATGGTTAGATCAGAGTTCCTATGAAAAAGGACTTCTGGGTTTGAGTCGACTTCAGACTAACGGGAATTAGCATTGTGAAATTAATACAATCTTAGTCTATATAAATAGAAGTCTAATATAAGGAAGGAAATATTCCCACTATGTTCTATATTGGCTAGTATGTATCTCTTTAGTATTGCATTAATTTCTGGGCACCGTATTTCAGGAGGGAAGGAGTCAAGGAGGAGATTGTATCAGACTTCCTCCTTGTTTTGGCCATGACACTAAAGATCCCTGCACTTCAGATTTCCTCACTTGCAAAAGGACTAAATGGGCTCCATAGTGATTTCCAGATCTATGCATGGAACACTGTGATTTTCTAAGAACTGAAGACATTTATCCTTTATAAGAGAAGACTTAAATGGGAAACCAGAGCTGTGTTCAAATTCCTGAAGAATGGTTATATGCAAAAGAGAACTACAAAGTAGAAAAAATCAGGATGATGTAATAGAAAATCTCTATGGCAGCTGAGCAGAAGAGGGATTGAAGTGGAGAGAGACTTAAAGAAGGGAGACCAATTAAGAGGCTACCTCAGTAGTCCAGGGGAGAAGTGATGAGAGCCTGAACTAGGCTTGTGACTATGAAAGTAGAGAAAAGGTGTTACAGGCCAGGGCATGGGTAGAATTGGGGGGAAGTTCTGGTTACTCTTCCATACCACCAGCAGGGGTTATTGTGGGCCAAGAAACTAAAGAGTACCATAGGTTCCCAAAGTGGGCGATACTGCCCTCCTGGGAGGGCACTGGAATGATCAGGGTGGGGGTGGGGTGGTAGTATCCTTCGGTGCAATTGGCGGGGGCGACGTTGAATAAAAGTAAGGGGGCAGTGGAAGCATAAGGAAAGAAGAGAAGATAAAATTTTGAAAGATTTTTTGTACATGTTTCATTAGTTATGTAATGTTAAAGTCATAGTGATTACATTATTCTTTCCAAATAAACACACAAAATGAAAGTTATAAGCAATCAGTGATCAAGTCCACTGACAGGTCTTAACAAGCATGTGTTAGCAGCAGAGTGCGTATCACATTGTCAGGAAGTCCAGCATGCATTGACAGGAATATGTGCGTGTAATGACTTATTTACATTACGATATTATATGGTTACATGACGCAATATTGCATCATCAAAATTTCAATGCAGGAAAAAACCCACAAATTTACAATAAATTATTAAAGTCAAGATGTATCATTTTTTAAAAATATATTACACATTTTTTGAAATGACACACAAAGCTAAAGGGTTAAAGAAAGTAGATTTCTGGGGGTGGGGGAAACACCAAGTGATTTTTTTTTAAAGGGGATGGTAGACCAATCAAGTTTGGGAACCTCTGGAGTAGACCTAGTTTGAGTTAACTCTGCCTTAGAGCTAACTTTGACTTAGAGTCAGGAAAGATCGGGATTCAAATCCCACCTCGTGCTTATTTTAAAGATTCAATTTCACAAGCATTTAATAAGTAGTTACTTTGCATAAGGCATCATATTGGGCACTGGGGAAATGAAACTGTCTCCATCCTCAAGAAACTTATTAAATTCTGCTTTGTCTGGAGTAGAAGAGAGGGGGACAACAGGTACACAGATAAATGTAAATTATCTGAAAAGTAAATATAAGGTTATGTTGGGGTAGGAAGAACACTAACCATGAAGGAGGAGGCAGGATCAGGAAAGCCTTCTTCTAGGCAGAAGCACTGAAGCTGAGCCTAGAAGGGGACTAAGGATTCCCAGAGTCAGAGGTGAAAAGGGAGAGGGATCCAGATGTGGGGGAAAGCTTGGACAAAGGCATAGAGGCAGGAAGGAAATGAAACATCATGAACAGGGGCAAGTAATAGTGTAGTTAGGGCACAGAATATATGAAAAGTGATGTCAAATCAATCCAGAAAAAGTTTGAAATCAGACTGTGGAAGTCTTTAAATGCCCTACATATTAGTTGCTAATTTGTCCCTAGACATAAAAGGAACCTTCTTGACCAGGAGAGTAATATAATACCATCTAATCTTCAGGAATATCATTGTGGCAGCTGTGTGATTGATTGAAGAGAGGGAAACCTTAATGCAATTTAGGAGGCTATTAAGTAGTCCAGACTAGAGGTAATTAGGACCTGGACTAAAAAGTAGATATGTGAGCAGAGAGAAGAGGGTATATGTGAAATATGTTGTCAACAAAGCTTGGCACCTGATTATATTTGAGTAGATGGAAAGTAAGAGAAAGTGAAGAGAAGAAAATATCTCTAAGACTGCAAACCTGGGTGACTGGAAGGATGGTAGTACTCTGACAGAAAAAGGGAGGTAGAAACATGAGTGTGCTTATGTGGAATTGGGAGAAAAATGAGTTTCATTTTGGCTATGTTGAGTTCAAGATGTTTATGAAATATCCATGTGGAAATAACCAGCAAATACTAGTCCAAAACAGATCCCATTGTCTACACACACACACACACACACACACACACACACACACACACACACACCCTCCCCTCTTCTGAATGTCCCTATTATGTCGAGGTCTCCACCATCCTCCCAGTCACCCAGATTTCTTCCACCAAAGTCCTAAAATCCACTTTTATCTTCTTGTCCAAAAGACTCACAGCTTGATCCAAATCAATCCAACTGGGGACAAACAACTCAAACTACAGCAGGTCTACTCTATAATTTCTTGACTTACGAGAGCCCCTGTTGTGGTATGAAAGATTAACCAGGGCCACCCCAATTTCACTGATACCCTGTCCTACATCACCTTTTCTCTACTCACTCAGCCACAAGCCTAGTTCAGGCTCTCATCACTTCTCCCCTGGACCACTGAGGTAGCCTCCTAATTGCTTTCTCTGCCTTCAGTCTTTCCCTACTTCAATCCCTCTTCTGTTCAGCTGCCATAGTGATTTTCCTAAAATGTAGGTCTGATCATATCACCCCCTTATTCAAAAAATTTTAGTGGCTCCATATTACAATACAATAAACATTCATTAAAACGCCTATTGTGTGTCAAGTGCTGGGGATGCAAAAAAGAAAGGCAATCTCTCCCCTCAAAGAGCTTTTAATCTAGCAGTGGATGATAACACACAAAAGGCAGCTGAAAAGGGGGTGGGGCAGAGGGTATCCAGTGCAGGGAGCATGATGCTAGTGGAGCCAAAATCAAGCAAGGCAGTTGGAGGCAAATGAAGAGTTGCTGAGCTCCTGGGTCTTTTTTAAAGGGAAGTTTGGGAAGGAGTTTTGTTTTGTTTTTCTCCAACTTCCAATCCGCTAATCAAATGCAAGTGCACATATATCCTGGAGAGAAATATTACATCTAGGATCAAATATAAGCTCTTCTTTTTAGTTTTTAAAGCCCTTCAATGTCCGGGCCCTTCCTACATAACCAGTCTTAGATTTTACTTCTCTCCACAAACTCTATGATCCAGTTATATTGGTGCTATTTCTGGCACATGGCACTCCATGCCCCATGTCAAGAATGCTCTTCCTCAACTCCACCTCTTAGAAGCTTTGGCTTTCTTCAAGACACCACTCAAATGCTACCTTTGTAGGAATATTTTACCAGGCTCTTCAGCCTCAAAAGCCTCCCCTCATCAAATAATCTTCCATCTACTCTGACATATCTTGATGTAACTACTTAAACATTTTATACAATCATAATTTTGTAAAGACAACAACTTTGAAAGGTTTAAAAACTGATCAATGCAATAACCAACCACAATTCCAGAGGACCAATGAGGGAGCATGCCATTTAACTCCTGATAGGAAGGGGACAAACTAAATTAACAGAACAAGACATACATTTTCTGACATTGCCAATGCTGTGTTACGTTTAACTATGCATATTTTATACAAGGGCTCAGTTTTTCTTTTTCTTTTTTTCCAGTCGGAGGATAGGGAGTGGGAAGAAGACAAATAATGCTTTTTGCTTGAAAGAAAAAAACTAGAACCCTTTCCAGCAAAATCAGGGCTAAAACAACAATGTCCATTTTCATCACTCCTGTCTGACATAGCAGTAGGAATGCCTGCATTAGCAATAAGACAAGAAAATGAAATTGAGGGAATAAGCATAGGTAAGAAAAAAGGGAAATTATCTCTTTTTTAAGATCACATGATAGCATACTTCAAAAAGCCCTAAAGATCCAACTAAAAAGTAACAAACAATAACTTTAGCAAACTTACTGGATATAAAATGTGATGGTTGGTTTGAGTATGTATTGCCCACATAGATTATGTGTGTTGACATGGGTCAGTCTTTCTAAATGTGGATTGTAAGGAGACATGAATAGATACCATTAGCATCTGTTTCGTGCAAAGAGGGAAAGAAGGAGGTTAGTACCAAAAGCTGGCTACTCTGATCTCCTCAGAGAGAAGGAGTACTGGGCTAGAATTATGTCTATCTTCCCCTCTAAGTATTGTTAGTGTAGGGAAAGTAATTTTTAAGTTCAAACTGAACTCCTGATCACTATCACTTAAAGAGGAAGGAGTACCCCAAGTTATATACCCAATGCTTGACTCCCTTGATATCAAATGCCAGTTCCACAAAGAAAACACAAAGCAAATAGCAAATAAATGTATTTATCCAAACAAATAACAATCAGAAATCAGAGAATATATGCAAATGATAATATGCCCAAACAATACACAGAGAGAATGAATTCTCCCACTGGGAATGGAATATCTCAGCTCAATCAGGAAAGAGTCTCAGATCTGACCCACAGGGAAATACCCCAAATTCTCTACTGCAGTAGACTGGGGATGAGGACATGATCAAGGTGCAGGTTCCTCTATATGTCAGCTTATTCCTAGATGACTAGAGTCTGCCTGTCTGTCTGTCTGTCTGTCTGTCTGTCTGTCTCTCTCTCTCTCTCTCTCTCTCTCTCTCTCTCTCTCTCTCTCTCTCTCTCTCTCCAGGGAATTCTCCCTGAAGAGAATGTGTCTGGAAGTAGGTCATCTCTTTGGATGCCAGAAACCAGCCAGAAGCTCAGGATCCCTCCTCTCCCAAGCTCTCCCCAGCTCCACCCCTCAAGCCATAAGGTGCAGGGTGACATGGTCAGATGTGCTTCAGGAAGACCATTCTGACACAGAATGGAGGATGAGCTAGAGTGGAGAGAGACTTGTGCCATGGGAAAAAAAATCAGTAAGCCATTATAATAGTCTAAATTTGAAATGATGAGGGCCTACACCAGGATGGCCAGCAGGATCAAACGAGAGAAGGAGGCACAGAGGAGAGCTGCTATGAAAAGAAAATTATCAGGCCTTGGCAACAGATTGGAAAAAGGGAGGAAGTGATGGTGAGGAGTTGAGGATGAAAAAACCTCAGTTGAGAACCAAGGTGACTGGGAGGATGGTGGTAACCTCAAAAGTAATAGGGAAGTTAGGAAGAAAAGGTTTAGAGGGAAATATAATATACAGAAACAAATATATCTAGTACTCTAATATTTAAAAATCACAAAAATCAGCTACTAGGATAAAGACTTACTATTTCGCAAGGACTGCTGGGAAAATTAAATGGCAGTATTAAAGAAGTTAGAATTATGGTAACACTCCAGACCATATATCAAGACAAACTCCATTTGGATACATGACCTAAATATAAAAGGTCATATGACAAACAAATTAGAAAAACATGGCAGAAAACATTGCCTATCATATCAATGGATAAGGGAAAGTTCATGACCAAACAAGAGACAGAAAAGGTCACAGAAGATAAAATGGATATTTTCTATGAATTTTTTACAAATAAATCAATAGTAAAATTATAGGAAATTTAATTTAAATTAATTGAGATTAAAAAGGAAACAGTAAAATATTTGTAGAAAGTTTCTCTGATAAAGTTTTGGTTTGTAAGGTATACAGAGAACTGAAATTTATAAGAATAAAGGCCATTCCCAATTAATAAACAGTCCAAGGCAGCTGTTGTGTTCTATAATAGGTAGCTCTCAAGTTAAAAAAAAAAACAAAACAAAACAGGTTGCTTATAAGCCATACTTTTATAGCCATACCAAAAAAATGTTCCAAATCACTACTAGTTAGAAAAATGAAAATTGAAGCAATATTGAGATTCTGTTTCATACCTATCTGATTGGCAAAGATGACAATAAATGAAAACAAATGCTTGAGGGTCTGAAGAGAAATTGGCACACTGATGCACTGTTGGTGGACCTGTGAATGGGTCCAATCATTCTGAAAGCAATTTGGAATTATACACAAAATGTTATTAAACAGTTCACACCCTTTGACCCAACCATACCACTTTTACTTCTACATTCAAAAGAGATCAAAGAAATAGGAAAAGATCTTTTATGTACAAGAACATGTGTCTCATGTTCATCTGTAAATGTTTGTAATGTAAAAACAAAACACATCAATACTTTTTAAAAGTTTTTTAATCTAATTGCTTACATGTCCCTCCCATTAAAATATAGTTCCTTATAGTTAGGGACATTTTTTTAGCCCTTCTTTGTAATAATATTTAACATAGTACCTGACACATAGTTAAGTGTTTAATAATGCTTGTTAACTAACTTGATTGGCTGACTGTTGAAGGACAGTGCTTTGAGGTATACCAGTACGTAGGAGGAAGCACATGGATGATGATCCAGCAAAAATTTTTAAAAAGTAACAATAAAAAAATTTTAAAGCCACCACCAAAAAACAAACAAACCCCAAAAACAAAAACCCTGAGAAGTAAGGGTCAAATATATAAGGGGAGTACCAAGAGAAACCAATGTCCCAAAAATTCAGAGAGAAGTGAGAATTCAGTAGGAAAGGAGGGTAATTAAGTGTCAGAACCTGCAGAGATCTATAATCATGGCTGAGAGAAGACTATTGGATTTAACAATAAAAATATTGTTATTAACTTTAAGGAGAGCAGTTTAAGTTGAGTGGTAGGATCTGAAGACAGATTGCAGAGGGTTGAGAATAGCATGGAATGTAAAATGGGATCTACATGTCAGCTATTATTAACAAGGATCAATGATCTGAAAATACAAGACAAGCAACTCCAGGTTTCCTAGAAGGAAGAACTTCCTAACATAGTGCTGCCAATATGGAATGGATGCCTCAGGGAGTAGTAGTGTGTTTCCACCACCAAGGTGTTCAGATAGAGAATAGAAGACTACCTACTGGCAAATATGACAGAGGAGGCCTCTAACATTTCTCGTAAATTTTGGATTATGGCACCTTAGTGTTTTGGTATAGTCATAATTTCACTAAGGTGGGTACTCCCTCCACCAATGCGGATCAAAGTCCTCCATACCTTCTCATCCTATGCTATACTTGTCCATGTCCTTCCAGACAGACTCCACAGAGGGTCCACCTAATCTATGGGAGGGCTTTCTCTTCATCTTTTAACTTCCATGAACTCTACACTTGAGCTAAACTATCCTACTCTGCATGTTCTATTCTCATGCTGTCTTCTTTTTGTGATATTTCCCAGAGTATCCACCCTGCTTTTCTTAAAATTCCTTTATCCTTTAAACCCCAACTCACATCCATTATATTTTATGCCATCTTCCCTGATATCTTTATTGGGTAATGAATATCTCACTTAGGGCTCAATGCAGCATTTTGGTTTGCACTTGATTAATGCACTAATGTACTTTCTTTAAAAGTTTCATATTATAGCTATCTCTCTGTACTTCTTATTCTCCTACCAATCTGTAAGACCCTTGAGGGCAGGAACTGCTTCTTACCTAAATGCTGCTTCCCATCCACTGCCTAGCACACTGTAGGCACTTAAACATAAGTATCTGTTGTATTGAATTCTCTCATTTGCAGTAGGAGAACTACTACTCTCTTTTCCAATCATATATATCACAAAATATACTACTGAGGAAGCTCCTCCTTATAAAAAATGATTGGCAGCATATTGTAACTTGTTTATGCTCACCATTCATCTTTCTATTGTCCAGTGGGTTGTCTTTTTTTTCTGTATTCCAAATACCTGTGTTCTCCCACTTATATGGAATTATGTTATATGGATGTTACATGGAATTCTATGATAAATAACAAATTTTTTCTTCATCTCTACTACTAATGCTAGTAAAGAAAGTCTAAATGAGATTGGTATGTGTCTGTCTTTTTCTGAGCTTCTCAGGAACCATGAAGCCCGCTTAAATATGCATACCACTTTCAAGGTTTCTCTGGTGAAAAGGGTTTCAAGTGTCCCAATTAGTATAATTCTCATTATTAATTACCAGATATTGAGTTTATACCAACTACCTAACTCTGAATAGGTGCTATAAATAGGAGGAAAATGTTTTCACCTCAACTCTTTTTGGGGGAACTTTTATAGTTAGCAGGAAATGGGGATTTCTAAATTAGAAAAAAGCCTGAGAAAAAAAATTGACTCAGTGATCTTTTTCATATTCCCCCTTCCTAATGTTTAGTCTGTCTTGTATGGAAAGAAGGCATTGACCAAGATTGACCTTATAGCAATTTATGGATGTGTGGCTCTCCAATCTCCTAAAAGACAACTTCTCCCTATTGTGGAAAAAGACATTGTGATCCCTGTCCTGAATCTCTATACTTCCAGCTGTCAGGTAACAACCAGCAACATCAGGATGCTTATAGGGTCTAATTCAGGGTTTTCCCAAGTGAGGTTCAAGGAACCATGTGGGTCTTCAGTTCCCAGGCATTCCTTAGAGTCAAAAAGGAGGATTACTCAGGCTTTGAGTCCCAATGGCTCAGCCTCAAGAAAATTGAGATAAAGAACCTAAGGGAATGGGGAAAAAAATAAGAAAATGCTCTGTAATAAAGATTGGAGGCTTACTGAAGTCCTTCAAAACCCATGTTTCTCTACGATGCTGTCCCAAAGGAATTTGGCTCACATTGCTCTAATTTTACTGACCTCAGCACTTAATGCTTAACATTATAATCATCCATGTCTTGTCCACCCAACTCCATTGTAAGGTCATTGAGGACAAAAACTTCATCTTATTCCTCACAGTATAAGCACAGTGCACTAATCACTATTTATGTACTGATTTTTTGGTGTATGATGAAAAAGTGAAAATATAGACATAATAAATATTACTTGAAAAATATGAAAGAAAAAAGTTGATGTGTTGCATGAAATTTATCCCTGAAAAAACCATGGCCTACCACACACACACACACACACATTGAAAAAATCCAGTTTAAATGTTATAACCATCAATAATACTGGAGTCAGGGCAGCTAGGTGGTACAGGGGATAGAGTACCAGCCCTGGAATCAGGAGAACCTGAATTCAAGTCTGACCTTAGACATTTGACACTCACTAGCTATGTGACCCTGGGCAAGTTACTTAACCCCAACTGCCTCCAAAAATAAAAAATACTGGAGTCATCCCTTCCCCATCGTCTATAGTCCTATAGCTTTAAAAAGATTACCTGCTAGAAAGTCATCCTTTATAACAAAAAAATCGAACAAGACCAACTCATTAACCAAGTCTAATTTTATACACACTATTCCATAACCATAGACCATACCACAGCTTCTACAAAGAAATCAGGAAAGTACATTCTCGTATCTCTTCTTTGGGGTAATGCTGTCATTGCAATTTTATAGCTTTGGTGTTATTGGTTTCTCTTTTGTTCATTTACCAATTGCATTAAATTTCATAAACTTCCAGCTCCATTTTTCTTCCCACAGAGCATTACCCTTTCCCCACCATTATCAGAAACAGTTTTTAAACTAATCATATGGCACCGAAACCCAAAGGCTCACCCTTGTAATTTAATTCTGAACTCTGACATTCTTAGAATAGTTCTCTAACTTGCATTTCACTGGTTAGTTAGTTAAGGATTACCCTGAGAAGTATATTTAACCCTTGATACTTTGGTTCTCAAGATTCCAAATTTGAGAGAATTGAGAAAAGCCACTGATAATACAGAATGATGCTTCGGTGTTCCCTATCAGAAACTATCAGGAGCTAGTTTCAAGACTTGATTATTCCATAACCACTCATTGAGTTTTTGCTTTCATCTTTGACTTTTCAGATATTGGGAATTACTGTTTTAAACAAGGTGAGTTATAATTCAATATTTTCGTTGTTCTACCTATATTAGGATCTGCTATAAAAATCATTCAAAATTATATAACATCTTGATTTGACTCCCAACAATAGGATCAGCAATTAGGGATGTCTCCTATTCTGGAGCCATGGCTTTTGAGGCTGCTCTAAAGCAATGCAAGGGGCTTCACAATTTTTCATTCAGTAGAAGTTAAAAGTTGGACTCTTCTATGTAGAAGCAAGGCAAAGAACCTAATACACGAAAGGGGTGGGTTGGATTTCCTTGGGATAGACATCAGAGATATCTTTTATATCCAGTACCTCATTACTAGTATCACATTTATCATACATAATGCTTCATTTCCCATTAGAACATGGATCTGCAAATGAGCTTCACAAAAAGTATCACTGAAATTTGTATTGCTATTCGGGACACTGAAGAACTACTGAATTTTAATTTAACCCATAAGGAAGTGCTCCTTGGATACATACTGGTGAGTGTCCAAAGGTGCACTGGACAATCTCTTTGATTTTGATTTGTTGTGGCTCTTATTTCTGTTTAACAAGAGTTCAGGGTTTTCCTTCTAAAAATTAACAAATATGAAATAATGAAGCTGATCAGCCCCACGGGAGGAAAGGGGGAGGGGAATAAGTATTTGTTAAGTACCCACTATGTTCCAGACACCGTGCTTAGAGCTTTATAAATATTATCTCATTTGATGAGGTAGCCAGTGTCTCAGTTTCCACTAATACGTCCTCCTTGAGGCTGCAAAGAGGCAGCAGCACCTGGGAGACCAACATGGTTGAAGTAAGAATCAAGGGGATGAGTCCCCCCAAAAAAAATTCTTTATAGTCCATTTCACCTCTTTGCTTGTGTTTCAGGATTTAATCAGAGAAGAACCTCTAGATTCCTTAGCTAGCCCAATCCGTTGGAAAGCCTTAATTGCTATTCGATGCCTAAGGTATAGAACTTACTCTTACTGCTCTCGTCCTCCTTCCTCATCCCAAATCAGTGGCTTACTTGTTAGCCCTGGCCAAAAATAATAATAATAATAATAAAACAGAATCTCATAAACGTGATTTGGATTGGAAACTGCTTCTCCTTCCCAAAGGGTAACAAACTAAATGTATGGGAGAATTATCAAGAAGCAAACAGCTGGTCAGAAGAGTCAGCTTTAATGAAATGCAGAGTACAAATACACATTCTTTATAGGGCCTGGGAATAAACTTCAGTCTTCTAGGTTAAAAGATGTTTGGCCTGTTCACATTCCTTTAGATTAGCTTCAACACCTTCTGTTCACCTAAAAAAGAAAACTAGTCTGAACTTTATCATTCATTGCATACACGCATTCATTAATTACCTGCAGCATCCATAACACTAGTGTAAGCACAAAACAAATAGGGATCCTTGTTGCCAAGATTGTATAATCTAACCTTTAATGCAAGAAAAAAATGTACAAAGATGAGAAAATTAGCAGCTAAAGAAATAAAACTGTGACAAAAATGTGTTAAGGAATGCAAAAGGATTCAGTGTAGCCCTTTCTTCAATATCATCTGAGGTCTCTCCCCAGTTTATATATTTACTCCTGTCCTTATAACTTCCTTCCCCATCCCCACCCATAAGAAAATACATCCTTTTTTCTTAGGCTCAAGGCACTGACTCTTGTAAACCACTTACCTCATCTTCCTGCTTTCAGTGATTGCTAGTCTAACGTGCGTCCCCCTCCATCTTTCTCATTTCAGCAAACTGAAGCCTCAGTTACCCCTAAATGACAACCTAAATATCCTTGAAGAAAGCCTTCGGAGTCTCATTCTCCTTCCCCATCTAACTCAGATCATAGAAGATGGACAGACTGCAGAAGACAAAGCACATATCCAAGTATGAAGGAAGGAGGAATGGGTTCCCAAACCAGGACAATAGTATCATTGGCTTGATCCTGGAAGGGACCTTAAAAATCTTCTAGTTTGGGGGTTCTTCATCTTTTCTGTGTCAATAACTCCTTTGTCAATCTAGGGGAAATTATGAACCTCTGCTCAGAATAACGTTTTTAAATTCATAAAATAAAATACAGAGGATTACAAAGAAAATTAATTATATTAAAATGCAATTATCAAAGTTAAAAAAAAAACTTTATGGACCCCAGGTTAAGAACCTCTGATTTCCATTTCAGCCCCATTCTCTTACAAAAGAAGAAACTGAGACCCAGAGAGATTAGGTGACTTGTCCAAAATCACACAGATAGTAAATTGAAGAACTGGTATTTGAACCCAATTCTTCCATCTATAAGACCAGCAGTCTTGCTTTTATAATCTTCTTTAGCATTCTCTGAAAAATGGTAATACAGCTAATACAGCTACCTTAGCTCAAGCTGAGCCTCACAGACTCATTTCTGGTTTCAGTTTCTCTATGGAAGATCCATGGATGCCCTTGGGAAACTCATGAGAACTCTGGTGTGGAATAACTGGGACCCAGAAGAATGTCAAGAAATGTTTAATGTAAGTTGGCCCCATTGGAATTGATGGCTATTCTCTTTCATTTGCTTTCTGACTCTCCACTTACTCCCCAAAATCTATTCTATTCCCCCTTCTGGTCCCCCTCTGTCCAACCCTCTTTTATCTCTTCCTATTTCACACCACCTATTTCACAGGCTTCTCTGACTTGTAGGAAAAGGGAAAAATAGCATCCCCCTCCTTTCATATGATATCACTGCTCCTGCCACTCACTCATTTGTCCAACAAGCATTTATTAAGCTCCTGTTTTGTGCTCAGCATGACGTTGCATGTTGCATATAATGGATGATAAAGGGGAAGTAAACAACACAGTCCTTTCTCAATTCTCACAACCCATAATAGGAGATAACACATTTGTACAAAGAACAATTACTGTCATCTTCAACCTTCTGCCTCCAGTGATAGATGGTTCCTTCCACATGCACCAAAAAAAAAAATGAGGGATACTCAGAACTTAACAATGCTGAGCTTTTTCCACATGGCCACAGTTAGACAGAGGACAAGGCCAGGGGAGGCAGGGGAAAAACAGAGACACACAGAGAGACAGAAATACAGAGGCACACAGAGAGGAAGACAGAGAAATCGGAAGACAGAGAAACAGAGAGGCAGAGTTCTGTGATGAAGAAAACTAAAACTAAAGAATGTACTTTTTTCTTCTTAATTACCAATAGCTTTTGCGAATCTGGCTTCTTTCATCAAAAGAATGGGAAAGAGAAAGAGTCTTGCAGATCTGTTCAAAGGTGTTGACCAACAGTAATGAAGTAAGTATCCTAGTCTATTTTAGATAAATGAATCTGAAGGAAACTTAACCAAAAGCCTTTAGGAAAATATAAAATGCTTTTCTAGTTTGTTTATTTTTTTTAAAATCTCTATCCCCAAAGGAAATAAATTTTTACTGAAGAGAGGATTTCCCTAAACTTGTGAGTCCAAGAATGACAAACAGAGAATGAGATGCCTCTCCCCATGGACCTTAAATGGTTTCTGCTATGATAGGGAACCACTAACCTCTTTTTAAGGGAAAATTTGCATCTCATTTTAGTCCTTGGGGTTTGTGGGAAAGAAATGAGTGGAATTAAATGTGATGTGCAGGATATGATGGAATGTCCTTTCTCCTATGTGAGAAATCTTGAGGTTATCTTTGTTCTTTTTCTATAGTCACCAGAGAGACTTAAAATTGGTCCTCTTCTTGGACTTTTTGCACCTCACTGCTGTGATACCCTACCTACCATCCGTCTATGGGCTGCTGATGCTGTTATTGGTTTGTTATTTCTCAAAGGTGAGAGGAAAGATGTGAGGGAACCACTTGATCAAAAGACTATTTCCTTTCTTCTGCTGTCAAATATTGTTTCTCTCCTCCTTCTCCTCGCCCTTCTCCTTTTTTCTCTCCCTAACAAAGCACTGTAAATTTCTATTAATATATATTAAATATTATGAGTTTCAAATTAAAGCACAGTGTAGCTGGTCATATTATCATAACTCTCTCTGCTACATGGTTTTATTTAATAGAAAATAACACTACTTTTCAAAGGTTAAATGCATTTCAAAGTTGAATATAAAAAAAATCTTTGTGGGTTCTTTTTACTTGAATAGCATGACCCTACATGAATATTGCTGAATGTAGGCAAAGAAACTGTCAAAATTGAGCAAAGTATAGCACTGGACAGAGGCCAGATGTAGAATTCAACAGCCAAGTAGAGCTTTCTATTGAGTCTGGCCATACTGAAGAGAAAGGTCTCCTGCTTACAGCTTCTTAATATATTGGAATGTGTTATTTAGACCAAAAAGTGAGGAACTGGGGGAAAACACCAGTTTCTCCACTTAATTGAAATCTCACACTATGTATGTGTATGTGTGTGTATATATACACACATACACATATATTTACATATACATATACATATATAAATGCACAAACATACATATATGTACTACGTGTCATTGGACGGGTATTATATATATATACGTGGAAGGGGAAGGTATGAGATTTCAATTAGTATATATTTTAATTTATATATATAATATATACATACACATGAATATATGTTTATGTGTGTATATGTGTGTATGGAGAAAGAGAGAGAGAGAGAAAATAAATTTCTGACACACAAATGGAAAGGACAAACACCAGTGATCTTATAGCTCTATCCAAGTGGTAGTGATCACTCAGGGCTATTGATGTTCTAAGCTGAGAGATGTTGGGGATGACTGAAGAGTAAAAGAGGATAAACAGACAAGATTCAAAATTCCCTTGGGAAATGGGGCTATTATTTATTGAAGGAATAGTTTTTCTGAGTCATGAAAAAAAGAAGTAGAGAAATAAACCGAGTGAATGACATAGCAGAGAGGGACATTTGAGGGACCCATCAGGAAGAAAGTTGAAATCTCAGTTGGTCTTGACTAGAGTAGAATATTTTGGTCAGCTCATATTTCAGATAAGTTAGCAAGACACTAACTTGCTTTGTGGTGTGTGTGTGTATGTGTGTGTGTGTGTGTGTGTATTTCTGGGAAACCAGTCTCAGAATGACCTTTGTCTACACATCTAATGCTTTCAAAACAGGTCTCATGTGTGCCACTGTGTTCAATAAAGACTACAAGCACAAAAACCAGGCCTAAGTTGAGATGCCAAAGTCTTGCTACAGCTGATATACTGGGAAATCACATTATGAGTAGTCTTTCTAGCACCATGGGTTCTTACCCTGGGGTCCATGAATTTGGTTTTTTTTAATATTCTGATAACTGTATTACAACATAATTGGTTTCCCTAGCAATTCAAGGTATTTTATTTTATACATTTAAAAACATGATTCTGGGAAGGAGTCGGTAAGCTTCACCAGACTGCCGAGGGGGAACATGGCACACACAAGAAAAGGTTAAGAACTCTTGTTGTAACTTAACAGACTCTGTTCTGATCCAGTTTTTCCTCTGGTGATTTTAGATCTGCCCCAGGAAATGGAGAAACTAAGGCATCTGCAGGAAGGACTGCAGTCTACTGATAGCCAAGTCCAGCTCTGGATTGCTTCTAATATGGCTAAGGTAACTTTGGGGGAAGAATGGAGCTAGAGAACAAAGGGAACTCTTTCTTAGCTAACAAGATACTTCTTTCACCCACAATCATTTTAAAATTATGCCTCTGAATGACCTAGAACACAGCTTAATTAGTAATTATCCCACAACTCTAAATGATCTACTGGATTAAGAGGGATCACTGCTCTGCCCACCAACAAATGGAAGCAAAATTTATTCATTCTACAAATATTTATTATATGTCTATTGTATGTAAGACAAAATGTTAAGTGCTATGATATAAAGACAAAAGAAAACAGTCTCTGCCCTCAAAAAGCCTACATTCTACCCCCTAGGCCAGTAGAGAGGATATATAGTTAACACAAAACTAAATAAAGACAAAGTAATAGAGATAAAGTAATTTTAAGAAGGAAAGAATACTAATAACTGGAGGGACAAAGAAAGGCTTCATATATAATATAGATTCAGATCTGTGCTTTGAATAAAGCTACAAATTCAAAGAGGCACAGGAACCCCAATAGTGGGGACCATTTGTACAAAGGCATAAAGAGAGAGGATGAGATGTCATGTATAGGAAACAACCAAAAGGCCACAAAGAAGGTAAATATAAAGATTAGATGGCACCCAAGGGTTAAATGCTGTACAAAATTGATATATGTATGTCCAGACCAGTGAGCAAATATCATGATAAATAAAAAATGATAAAGTATGGGAGGTACAATACTTCCTAAGTATTGAATACAATGAAATACTTTTTTTAATTCAATTTTATTTTCAGTTCCAAATCTTTCCCTCTCCCTCTACATTCTCCACCCATTGAGAAGGCAAGAAAAATAAAATCCATTATAAATATGTATAGTCCTGCGAAACAATGTTCCACATTAGCCATGTCTCTCTCCCCCCATAAAAGGGAAGAAAAAAAAAAAGAAAAATATGTTTCAGTCTACACTCTGAGTCTATCAGCTCTCTATCCCAATGTGGATAGCTTGTTTGATCATAAGCCCTTTTGAATTGTTGTGGGTCATTGTGTTGATCAGAGTCACTAAGCCTTTCAGAGTTGATTCTCTCTACAATATTGCTATTATTGTAAAAATTGTTTTCCTGATTCTGCTCAATTCACTTTGTATCAGTTTGTATAAGTCTTCTCAGGTTTTTCTGAAACCATCGCTTTCATCATTTTTTATAACACAATAACATTCCATTACATTTATATGCTATAACTTACTTATTCAGCCATTCCCTGATTGATGAGCATCTCCTTAGTTTCCAATTCTTCACCACCACAAAAAGAGCTTCTATAAATATTTTTGTATATATGGGTCTTTTCCCTCTTTGTTTGATCTTTTTAGGCTGTACCTTTCGTACCTTTGGGAGCATAGTTTCAAATTACTTTCCAGAATGGTTAGACTAATTCACAACTCCACCAACAGTGTGCTTGTTTTCCCATATTCCCTCCAACAGTTGTCATTTTCCTTTTTTTATCATTTTAGCCAATCTGATGGATATTAAGTGATACCTCAGAGTTGTTTTCATTTGCATTTCTCAAATTATTAGTGATTCAGAGAATTTTTCATATGACTATTGATAGATTTGGTTTCTCCCTCTGAAAACTGACTGTTTATATCCTTTGACCATTTATTAATTAAGGAATGGCTCTTAAATCCTGGAATACTATTTCTGGTTAAGTCTATAAAACATCATCTGGATCAAGGGTGGGGAACCTAAGGTCTCTGGGTTTGGATTCAGTCAAAGGGCCACACCTGAGGACCTAGAGGGCCACATGTGGCCTTGAGGCTGCAGGTTCCCCACCCCTGATCTAGATATTTATAACCTAACAACCCCTTGCCTGGAGGCAGTCAGGCTTGAAAAGAACTTTTTTATCATTAAAATAGCTGGTTGGGAGCAGCTAGGTGGTACAGTGGATAGAGCACTGGCTCTGGAGTCAGGAGGACCTAAGTTCAAATTTGGCCTCAGATATTTACTAGCTGTGAGACCCTGGGCAAGTCATTTAACCCTAATTGCCTCATCAAAAAAACAAACAAACAAAAAAAGCTGGTTGTGGATATCATCACCCTCTTAGTTTCACACTTCTTCCCTCTGTAAAATTCAAGGATCGGGCCCCATGACCATTAAGGTCTCTTCCAGCTCTAAATCTATGATTCTCTGATCCTCTAGAAAGCTGCTTGGAGTTATATTGAGATATTTCCCTGTCCCTATTGCTTAGAAGCTGTTTCTTCATCTATAAAACTTGCCAAGAAATACTCCACACTACAAGTCATACAAATGACTTGGGAAATAAGCATTTTTTTTTTTTTTTTGCTTTTTGCTAGGCAATCAAGGTTAAGTGACTTGCCCAGGGTCACACAGCTAGTGACTGTCAAGTGTCTGAGGCCAGATTTGAACTCAGGTCCTCCTGACTCCAAGGCTGGAGCTCTATCCACTGCACCACCCTGCTGCCCTGGGAACAAGCATTCTTTAATGTCCTCTGTACACACAATTCAGCATTGTAACTGTTTTGGTCTTGCCTGGTTAATGATTGTCACAAACACTGAAGTAGAGCTCTAGGTAGCACAGTTGATAGAATGCTAGACTTGGAGTCAGGAAAACCTTAGTTCAAATCTTTCTCAGACACTTACTAGCTATGTAACTCTGGCCCAGTCGCTTAACCTTTCACAGCCTCAGGTCTCTCATCTGCAAAATTGAAATGAAAATAATAATCTCTTACTCCCAGGATTGTTGTGAGTATCAAATGAGACAATATGTTAGTTGCTTTTCAAACCATAAAGAGCTGTGTAAATGCTAATGCAAAGGTGGGGTGAAAACAACCCTTAATAATAGCTTTGATTTTTATTATTAGACAGGGTAAAGTTAAAGTTATCAACCTTAAGTAACCAAACCTCATTTTTTAATAGGTGTCCTCAGTTCTCCTAAAGAAATTTTTGTCTCATCTCTAGTATTGCCTAGTTGGAAATGGCTCCTGAAAGCTTCATAGGATTCTGCTTTCATCTGCCAAAGGCAAGATCTTAGACTAAAGAACCCTTAAACATATTCCTCTGGTCCATATGGAATACACATTATCCAATCTGTCACTTTTCCATTTTATTGGATTGTTCAATCCATCCATACTTATGAGAGTAAGGTTTTTTTCTTCCATTTATGTCTATTTTTTTTTCAAAATTAGAATTTATTTTTGTCTTGCTTTGTAAAGACAATACTTCAACTCTGTTTTTTGCTTAATCTACTTTAGGTCAAACCTATTCCCATTGCCTCTTTCCCCCTCACCTTCAAGTCCTATCCCCTCTTGTTTGTCTCCTGTTTCCCTATTTTGGTGTATTTTAATTTAATAATTCCATTTATTTTTCCTCTAATCTAGTTATTTATTTCCTTTTTTCCCTCTCAGCTAAATTGTTAAGTAAAATCCCACTTCTTATCCTCCCCTTTAACTTATTTCACTTCTTAGAATTTTTTTTTAATTTCTGTGGTTTATTTTGCTCATTCTCTTAATTATTTCTCTTCCCTTTCTGTTTATTCTATCTATTTTTATTCTTTGATTCATGGTCATTATACTTATTTATTCCTTCTTTAATCTCTGAATTCTGCTTAGAATTAAAGCTACCAAAGTACTTATTTTGAGTTCCCTCTTCTAAACAGTTTATGTTATTGCGTTGTAGATCTTGGCCCTTTCTCCTTTCCAGAAGAGAAAGAGAGGATGAAAGCATTCCCTTAAGGCAGAAATGTTCCTGTGTCCCTGATTATGCAGCTCATTACTATCCACTGCCCTCTCCATGATCATTTCTTCCCATGTGCCATGAAATATCTCTGTGCCCATGCCTTCCAATCCTCTGTCTATCAGTTACCTCCAGGCGCTCTGATTCCCTTTCTGAGAAAAGATGTCATCCATGGAAACACAACATTCTCTTAGAAGCAACAATCTCTTTTTAAACACCAAATATCTCCAGATTATATCCATTGTTAAGAACCCCATCCTTCCCTCTCATTATAGAATATCTCTCTCCCCTTATGTAATATACAGTAGCTAGAAATGTTAAAAACCAACCTCCTCAGCTTTGTTAGCCTTCAATAAATCTGAGCTTATAACAGAGCATGATGTGATAGAGTAAGTGTTAGATTTGGAGGCAGAAGACCTCCACCTTGGAGCCAGTCTCTGCCATGTACTACTGTGTTGCTTTGGATATATTATTTAATGTCTCTGGATTTCACTTTCCCCATCTCTAAAATAAGGGGGTAGACTAAATGACCTGTAAGTTCCCTTCCACCTCTCTCTGACTCTATGAAAAGCTACCTAGAAAAATTACCTGTAATTAAAGGATATCTGCCAATCCTTTCATTGCTCCAAATCCTGAACCAAAAACCAACTACCCTGAACCTGTTTCTTCATCTATAAAACAAATGTAATAATGCCCTGTTTTTTCCAGCCCTTTTATGAGAATCAAAGGATATACTGTGTCCAAAATACTTTTTAAGTTTCAAAGTACTATATATATATATATATATATATATATAAGAAGCTTATAAAAATCAAATAAATGTTTTTAAAAAAGCAATGTCAAATTGAATCTAGGGAGAAAGCATGATTAATAATACCAATCAATGTCTCTGTCTGAAATGCTAGATTGTTAGCAAATACATCCCCAATGAAGAAATCCAAGCATTTCTAGAAGAATCACTAGGTGGTATGGAGACCCTCAACACTGAGTGTTCAAAGGCATGTGGTGTGTGGGTAATCACTATCCTAAAGGAACAAGGAGCTGCCTTGGAAAAAGAGGTAAGCCTGAAAGCTGTTAAAGGAGAAGGGCAGGGGAGAGTGGTGGTAAGGAGGAAGGAGAAGTAGGGTGAGGAGAAAGGGGTGGAGGGAGAAGGGGGTGGAGGGAAAGGAGAATGAGGGGAGAAGCATAGGAAAATGGGCTGGGATTTAAGAAGATTTAGGTCAAAGCCCACCTCTGATACTGTGTAACTCTGAGGAAATTGCTTCACCTCTTTGTACCTCAGTTTCCTCATCTGTAAAATGAGAAGTTTGAACTTAGCTCCATGATCTCTTCCAGCAAGAAATTTATGATCCTATGATCTTTGCCTAGGCACAACATTGTTACTATAAAAATTATTCTGGTTCTGCTCACTTCATTTTGCATCAGTTCATATAAGTCTTCCCAGGTTTTTCTGAAACCATCACTCTCATCATTTCTTACAGCACAATAGCATTTCCTCACATTCATATTCCATAACTTGTTCAACCATTCCACCAATCAATGAGCATCCCCTCAATTGCCAATTCTTTGCCATCACAAAAAGAGCTGCTATAAGTATTTTTGTACATATCAGTTCTTTTTCTCTTTCTTTGATCTCTTTGGGGTATAGACTTAATAGCAGTATCACTGGGTCAAAGGATATGTACAGTTTCACACCTTTTGGGGCATAATTCCAAATTGCTCTCCAGAATGATTGGACTAGTTTACAGCCCCACCCCACTCCTAACAATATGACAGTATACCTATTTTCCCACATCCCCACCAGCACTTGTCATTTTTCTTTTTGGTCATTTTAGCTAATCTGATGAGTGTCAAGTAGTAACTCAGAGTTATTTTTATTTGCATTTCTGATTATTAGTGATTTAAACCATTTTTTCGTATGACTATTGATAGTTTTTACTTCTTTCTCTAAAAACTACCTATTTATATCCTTTGACTATTAATTGGTAAATGATTCTTATTCTTGTAAATTTAACTCAGTTCTCTATATATTTGAGACATGAGACCTTTATCAGAGAAACTTGCTACAAATTTTTTCCCAATTTCCTGCTTTTCTTCTGATTTCACTTGCATTGGTTTTGTTTGTGGAAAACCATTTCTGATGTAATAAAAAATTGTCCATTTTACTTTCTATGAACCCTCCTATCTCTAATCATGAACCCTTCCACATCTATATTTCTGACAGGAAATTTCTTCCATGCTCCACTAATTTACTTATGATATTACTCTTCATGTCTAAATGTCTATCTAAACCACTTTGCCTAATCTAAACCATTTTGTATAAGCTAATTGCGTCTAACATAAACCATTTTGAACTTGGTATACAGTGTGAGATGTTGAGGTATGCCTAGTTTCTGCCAGACTACTTTCAGGAAGACTGTCTTGATGTGGATTTATAAAGGCTTGGGATACCAATGTTCAGTATGAGGTAATATGGAACTCCCAAGACAGTAAAGAAAGATAGCTTTATTGAGGAAAGATATAAAATGAAGGGCAATCAAAGTGAAAGATGGAAACAGATTAGGTCCACTGGAGTCCTGGGTGGAATTAACTACCCTGATGCATCCCTGGAAGAACTGGGCAACCTCTCCCAAATTTGTAGTCTGATAGATTTTTATGAGGTTCTTAACCTGGGTCTAGCAGCACCAGGCACTGGGAGAAGGGAACAAGGAGCATGGACCTGAGGACTAGAGTTAATTCATAGAAGTGATAAAAAGGGAAGACCACTCCCCCAAGGGAACTAGAGGTTAGTTGAGATTCAAAGAAGGGGTTTTGGGTCATTACTGCTGGTCTTATTCTGAGAGGATGACTTAGATTCCCAGTTAGGGAGTTTTGAGCTTTCCTGGGGCTTCAAGGGGGAAGTCAAGAAGAGAAAAAATGTAGATGGAGAAAGAGTTGGGGGGGGGGGCTATTGTATTCCTTCCAGTGAACTGGACCTTTTTGGAAGAAGCAGCTGCTTGTGCCCTGTCATCAAATGAAAAGTCATCCAATAATTGGCAGAAGAAGAATGGGAGTGATTGTGGACTCTCTCTTCAGGGATAGCCAGGCAGCTACTTGTTGACCTAATAGAAACAACAGAGAGATCTGTTGTCATGTGGAGAATGTGCCTGACACAGGACAGAGAGAATTCTAAGAACTGGCAAACCTGAAAACCGTCACCCTCTTCTGATGATTCATGGTAGCAGTGTCAGCTGGCTTCCAGACGCCCCCCCCATCTCTCTCAGTCATTCACTTGAATCATGAACCCAGCATTTATTCTCACCCCCACACCTCTGTGCATAGCCTACCTCTAATAAGATCCTAGCCTCCAAGGCAAAGGAAAAGTAACACTGTCCCTTTAAGATGTGCCATTTAGGCATCTGCCAGAGGCGCATATAATCAGACACAGAGGACTTTTTCCTGACAGTAGAAAATATCTCCAATTTTCAGTTATGTACGTACATAAATAGTGATTATTATTCAGAAATGAGGCATAATCTGTAAATCCATCTTGAGCTTTAAGATCCCTAAAGATGTTTCCTTTACTTAGAACTAAAAAGAAGAAATACCAAGTAAAAATGTAAGGTATTTGAGGACAGACAAGCCCTTCACTATGTCCAAGTACCATCCTAAAACCAGACAAATGAGATTTGAGATGGGAATGACCAAAAAAGTGCCAAAGGTGAGCATTACATAACAACTATCCTCCAAAGCTAGATACAGACAACAATCATCACAGATGACTTGACAAGAAATGTTACAATAAAGTGAACTTGCATTCAAGAACCTTGCAAAGAATAGTGGAGTTTTTGGTGGGTCATGATCTGTTACTCTTATTTCAGGTACCTTTGTCTAGAGTGCAAATTGTTTGTTCAAGAAGAAGGCTCATGACTGAGAAATACACCTACCATACGTATGGATAATTATTACTCATTATTAACCAACTATAGATTATTGGACCCAGAAAATGGATGGGACCTTCAGAAGCTCAGCAGTTTTTTCACTATTTATATGCAAAAATTACATTCATAAAAAAGTGGTAATTGTTTTATTTTTTTTCCTTGCAGTTGTTGAATATCTTGAGCTCAATTTATCATCACATGCCCATCCTCAGACTTAAGAAGCAAAACTTCAATTTTGTTCTACAGGCTATCACCCAGTTAGCAAATTTCCACCTTGAGGCAGTTGTTTACAATCTCCTAAATAAGCCTCTACCCTTTGATAGGTAGGTATTAATTGACACCTGTCCTTCTGTCCTAGTAGGGGGCCTCTATCTCCCTAGATTAAAAAAAATGAGTAAATTATTTGAGGAAAGGCAAATAACAATAGACACAAAATATGGGAAAGCTTTTCAGTAGTTAGAAGGAAAATATCTCATCTGAATTTTTCATATACAAGCTTATTAGATGAGATATAATGTAATATAAAAATACATCCTGAGATTTATCTTTAGCAGTTTGTATTTCTCCTCTTTCTTAGTGCCATGCTCGATAACAACTTTTGTCATAAAATCTTAGGGTTAGGAGTGACCTCATGATTCATCTAGTCCAACTCCCTCCTGAAGCCTTCCACAACATTGCCAAACAGATGACCATCTTGCCTCCTCTTGAAGACTTCCAAAGATGGAAAACTGATGCCTCCTAAGGCAGACCATGCCACTTTTGGACAGTTGGGAATTGAATGGTTTTTTAATTGCTAGGAAGTTCTTGTTTTGAGCTAAGATTTGTCTTTCTATATCTTGAACTGTGGGTGTCATCCTTGCCACCTCAAAAATACAACCAACAATCTATTGAGCATTCACTATTGCCAGGGATTTACCAAGTGCTTGGCATATAAATGAAGGAAAAAAACCAGTCCCTTCCAGGAGCTTATATTCTAATGGAGCAGAGAATATGTAAATATATAAGATACAGAGAGAGTAAATAAAAGGTAATCAGAAAAGGGAAGACACCAGCAGCTAGGGGACTAGAAAGGTTTCCTGCAGACAGTGAGATTTCCATTTAATCTGGGAAGAAGCCAGGAAACCAAGAGGAAGAGATGACGGGGCAAAGCATTCCAAGAAATTTGGATAGCTAATGTAAAGGCGGAGAGGTGGGAAATGGAGAGTTATGTTTGAGGAAAAGCGGGAGGCCAGTATAATTGGGTCATAGAGTGCATAAGGAGAAGTAAGAGGACTAGAAAGATAGGAAGGAGTCAGATTATAAAGAGCTTTAAATGTCAAACAGAGGAGTTTATATTTGATCCAGGAGTCACTGAGAGGTAGTCGGTCACTGGAGCTCATTGAACAGAGAGATGACATGGTCAGAATGACACCTTTTTAAAAATTACTTTGGTAACTTAGTGGAAGACAGATTCATAATGGGAAAACACCTTCCTACAACATTAGATCAGTAATTAGAAGTTAGAAGCTATTGCAATAGTCTAGAAGAGTAATGAAGGCCTAAATTATGGTGGTGGCTATACAAATAGAAAGAAGGGGAAAAATGTGAGAGATGTTGCATAGATAGAAATGAAAAATGTGGAAACATTGGCTCTATGGGATGAATAAGAGGTGAAGTCAGATAGCCCAGAGCCTGAGAAGAAAGTCAGGAAGAGAAGGTTTGGGGAGAAAAATAATGTGTTCTATTTTGGACATGTTGAATTTAAGATGCCTATGGGAAATCCAGTTCAATATTTGCAACAAACAGTTGGTGATTCATAATTGTACCGAGAGAGAGACTAAGGGTGGACATATATACCTGGTAATCATCTCTTGTCTTATTAATAAGTAATGATCCTTGGGAGTACTCTATCTGGTTAAATAAAAATTTTCAATATCTCCCACGTAAAGAGCATGGTCCATCTCCCTCCTCAAAATGTCATTAATAAATTATACATATCCTTTGACTGGGTGATAACATGACTGGATTTGCACACCAAGGAGATTAAAGAAGAAAAAATCCTATATTCATAAAAACATTTATAGCAGCTCTTTTTGTAATGGCAAAGAACTGGAAAATAAGGAGGTGTCCATCAATTGGGGAATGGCTGAACAAATTATGGTACAGTCTCAATCTTCAACATTTGCACATCTAACTTTTGTGACTTTGAGCATTTGTGTGATTTCATTAGTAACCTCATTTTCACATTGGCAACTATGTACATTTGTGGCTATGTAGAAAAAAAAATAAGAGGTGTAATGTGTGCAAGTTTATGAAGTGGTAGGTATACTACTAGACACTTCACTAGACTTGTTCACCTTACTGGTTTAGAGTAAAAAGCTCCCTGTGCATTTGTTGCATATTTTCATTGTTTGCCTTTAAAACTTAAATTTTATGTTGCAATCATACCCTCAAATCACAGTACAAATCCTTTGGTTTTTAAGGTAATGTCGAGACCTCACCAGTCTCAACATCTTCCAAAAACAGCAATTAAAGTCCCAGCAACTTCTCCCTTGGTCTTCAGAGGGTGGCCAAGGTAGAGAGGTTTATAGCAATATAGGACAGTGCCCTCACACCACCATCTGACACAATAAAAAGTAAGATTCAGGTTAAAAAATGTTTTATTTAGTTTTAAGAATTGCATTTGCTGTACAATATTTATGATACTGTAGGTTTCATGTGTGTGAAAAGTGAATAGTATGAAATCAATGTTGTTTTTATTGAGATGTTAGCACAAAAGATTATAGAATTTTAGGGAATTATTATTGAGAAAAAATGTTTTGCATGTTGCCAGTTTTATTTTGTGTACTACATCTTATGGGATATTTCATGATTACTGTGTTAAAAAAAGTGCATATTATCAGAATTAATGTTTTATAATAAAGATAGGTACATAGAAAAGTGTATTTTTAGCAATCTCTAGTGAAAGGTTAAAGTTTTTGGTGATCATAGGAACCTAACACCCATTTCCCATAGGTTCAATGTATCAATATTTGCATTCTTGACTTAACACCATTTTCTAGGAACATTACTCCTGAGAAAGTTGAGGACTGACTATATATATTCATGTAAAAAAACACTATTATACCATAAGAAATAAAAGAGGAACCTGAAAAGTCTTATATGGATTGATGCAGAGTGAAGTGAGCAGAACCAGGAGAACTATCTATATTATAACATCAAAAAAATTTAAAGGCTTATGAATTCTTATTAATGCAATAATTAATCATGATTCCAGAGGACCAATGATGAATATTACCTACCTCCTAACACAGAAGTGATAAACTAACAAATGGAATGATACACATATTGGCCAGTATAGAAATTAATTTTGTTGGACTGTGCTTATATATTACAAGAACTTGGTTTTTCTTCACCTTTCCCCAGGGGAAAGTGGGAAGGAATTACAAAATAAAAAATTTGATAATTCTTTAATCGTAATTAGCAACTTAGTGGTAGGTTCTATGGTACTCAGGAACTACCTCATGGATTTTCCACTTCCTCACAATTCTAGGGACATAAAAGCACTATGGAAGGCACTGGCTGAGGATAGTTCCCTCAACCCCCAACTCTTAAGAGCCTTAATGGATAAACTGGAGAATGGGCTGGAGAATGACGTAGCAGAATCAGAGACAATTGCAGTAAGTTAGACTACTCATCACAAAGTTGAATGAGTACCCAAGCTCAATCATTTCCCCAGAACTGTCTACTAGAAGCTTCTTGTTATTCATACCCTTTCTCAAGTGCTGGTCTGATTTCAGCATCAGCATCTATGGAACAAGTACAGCAATAATTTTGTCTGATGATTCACTTAGATGAAGTCCCCTCACAATTCAAATTGAGAAGCCAATTTCTCCATCAGACCAAAGAAAGCCTGTCTGTTCTGCTTTGTCTACAACCCTATTTTAAAAGCAAACAAACAATGATAACAACAATGGTAACCTCAAAAATCCTTCCCTTTTCAAAATTTCAAGGAATGGGAAGAACCCCTGGTATTGATTAGACCATTTTCAGAAAAAAAAAAACTATCAAAAGCCTACTTTAGTTAAGTGTTTTTAGCACAAGTTGAACATGAAGGATATAGAGAGGTCTGAAGATTGAGTCAGAAAGAGTCCAAAGCCCTTGATGAGTAGGATAAGTTGTTCTTTTCCTCAAAATTTCCCAGGAGAATTCACTGACCTCTTGACAAGGGGATTCTTTCTCTCCCCATAGGTTGCCTGTGCTATATATGAGGTGGTGTCAATGGGCATCCATATGAGGGAGTCATATGCCGAGCTTTTCTACCTGCTCTTGAAGCTCATTAGCTGCACATTGAGTCAGAAGATGCCAACCCCAACCTTGAGTGAGAGAAAGAAGGTCTTGCCAAGGGGACAGAAACTTCAGGAGGTGGATCCTTGCAGGTAAATGACAAATTTGTGGGGGTGGGGGGGCTCCTATAAACTGCTTTCATCACATCATAGAATCATGAGATTAAGAGCTGGAAAGGATTTTAGAGATGAATTACCTAACTCATCCAGTCACCTCATTTTATGGATGAGGAACTAGAAGCTTACTCTACCTATACTGGCCCAAAGTCACATAGGCCTTCAATAGCAAAACTCAGACTCAAACACAAGACTTCTGATGACAAACTTGCTCTTTCCAGGATACTAAATGATGATCTTGTCTCTGTTGTGGAACAGAACAAATATAAGGGCCTGTCCATTTAGCAGGCAGATTAGTCATGACCTCAGTGGTTCACCACGAGGGACCAGATGCCCTATCCACACTACCTCTCCCATCCATCCCTCTCTAGCCTCCCACACAGCCACCAGTCTAATTCAGGGCCTCATTGTCTCTTGCCTCAACTGCCATCATCACCTCCTAGTTGTTTTTCCTGTCTATGCCCTCTCCATTCCAGCCTCCATACAGTTTGCCACCACCTCCAGCTGTATGGCAGCTCCACCGACTGCTTTAATCCTATCTTTGTCTCCCCAGTGCCCAGCACAATGCCTTATACATAAGAAGCACTTCATAAATTTGCATGAAATTGGCTAGGACTTCACAATCTCAGGCTATAATTTTTCTTCATATACCTGGTTGGCCACATAAAAACCTTTCAGAGAAGAAGAAATGATTAAAAAGTTCTAGATTTTTTAGAGGGAAAGAGAACAGTGCACGGTCTCTGACTCTCTCTGTCCATTTGAGTTGGTACAGTAGATGTTCCTCAGGGGACCCTCATCTCTACTCCATGACTACAAGGCACGTGGTCCCGCAATAAGTGGAAACATTGGTAGTGGCTATTATTGCTCCCTTCTGTTCCCCCACCCCCATCTCCCACTCCAGGAGTGCTCATTCACCAAAGGGCACAGTTGTCTCCAGACGAAGAGGTGTCTGACCCTTTGAGAGAGGTGGATTCTGGGTGCCAGCAGCAATACACTCCTTCTGTGGCCAGGCATGGAAATACACTGGTTACAGGGTCAAAACACTTGAGTTCAAATCACATCTTGGCCACTTACTACTCTCGTGTCCTCGGCCAAGTCACTTAAATTCCCTGGCTTTCACTTACCTCATCTGTAAAATGAGGGAGTTGGACTAGATGACCTCGGAGGTCCTCCCCACCCCTAAATCTATGACACTACAATCCTATCACCCAGTGAATTTGTTTCATGTCTGCAGAAGCTGCTACTGTTTCATGCTAGTCAGATTCCCTTTGCCAGGGTTTACTTTGGTGTTTCATTGTGTCCCAAGAAGAGAGAATGATCCCCAAGCAAGGCTTGTATTTCACTCTTAAGCCCTAGTGACCATCCTATGAACACTATAGTGCTGCCTTGTGTTTTATATAGAGATAGATATAGATATATAGATATATATACACACATATATACACATACATGTATATACACAGACATACGCGTATACTAAGAATAATCCAACATATCTTCATATGTACATATACACATATACACATAGGTATGGATATATGTACATATGAAGAAATGTTGGATTATTCTTTACCTTATGCTTTTAATTGAATAGATCCTAGCAATCATTTGTCTTTCCTAATTACTAACAGGAGTTACAATATCCTACACATACAATAATAGCTAGCATTTATGTAGTGTCTACTATGTGCCAGGCACTATGCTAAGCACTTAGCATATGTTATTTCATTTGATCCTTACAACAATCCTGGGAAGTAGGTGCTTTTTTATTCCCATGTTACAGATAAGAAAACTGAAGCAAACAGCGATTAAGCGATTTGCCTAGAGTCACACAGCTAGTAAGTGTCTAAGACTAGATTTGAACTCCAGTATTCCTGACTTCAGGCCCAGCGTTCTAACCACTGCACCACCTAGTTGCCTCTAAATACACGTATATGATAAATTATATAAATGTCCATATCATATTTGTGTGTACATATATAATTATATGAATTATAAATTCATATCATTTTAATTGCCTTGTTAGTGACCACAAATACTCTCTGGCCTTTGCGTCAACCTAACCTGTGGAACAATGTCTCCTTTCTTTTTCTCCCAGAGGGCTGATGCAGCCTTACAACTTAGTGCAAATCCATCTGGTTTCCCTTATGACTCTCCTTTTTTGTTCTGATGGGCTTAATTCATTCTCTTCCCTTTATTATCATTAACTCTCATAGGTTGCTTTCAATTCCTCTTTCTCCTTTCCTCCTTGCCCACTCCCATTCCTTTCTTTTACTTGAACTCAGAATATTCCAACAAAAAGTTTTCTTCATGGAATAGCATTTGGCATTTCCTCTTCCTTCCACTTTTTTCCAAATCAGCTACAGTTCACTGCTAACCAAGCATTCCAGAGGAAGGAAAAGGACAATATTTTGTTCATTCCATCCTTGGAGCTTTGGTGACTTCTAAGGCTGGTGAGAAATTGTGACGTTGTTTACTGCTTCCACTCATTTCAGCAGGTCCATCTGGATCAGTGTGGTTGCATTTTCTACCACATATCACTTACTAATCCTAGATGAGAAATTATATTCGTGAAAAGAGCGGAGTCTAAGCCAACACATTTCTCTAATTCTGGCTATCTTCTTCAGGCTTTCAACTAACACCTTGAGATGTGTGCAGGACCAAGCCATAAAAGAGGGCCTGGCTAAAGAGTCTGACGAGGGAGACAACTTGTGGAATCTACTCAGTAGCCGCCATTCGCATCACTTAGGAGTGTGTGTGCTGGCCAGGTAATGGTTAGATACTGTAGGGCTGGTGCTGGGGAGAAAAAGTGAAGCAATTATACACTTCCTAGTGCCTCCACACTGCTTTATGCACACTCGATGCTGAATAAATGTTAAGCAAATGAATGAATAAAACAGGGAGGAAAAACAAAGTACTTGGGCTTTCAATTAGGGATCTCAATTAGCTTTATTTATATTGATTACCTCACACAAGATCAAGAAAGACAAATTTGGGGAGGATAATGAAAGGAGTGGGAAGAAATAGAAAAGCATAAGGGCCAGCAGTCAAAAACCTATTCACCTACCTAGGAAAAATAAAAGTTATTACTTGTGGGCAATTTTTTACAAAGTTGATTTAAATTTTATAAGATAGGTCATTAGAAGTTCCACACCTGACATCCCTTTCCTATAAGGTACTCTCATGGATAGTTTGTCTGCTCCAAAGTATCTGATGCTTCCTCTAACACAGGGGATCTTAGCCTTTTTTGTGTCATAGATCCCTTTGGCATTCTGGTGACACCTACAGACTCCTCACAATAATGTTTTTTGTTTGTTTGTTTGTTTGCTTTTTGGCTAGGCAATGGGATTAAGTAACTTGCCCAGGGTCACACAGCTAGTAAGTGTTTTTATGTGTGAGAGGCCGGATTTGAACTCAGGTCTTCCTGAATCCAGGGCTGGTGCTCTATCCACTGTGCCACCTAGCTGCCCCTTGACAATAATGTTTTTAAATAATTGAAGGAAATAAGAAATTTCTGTTAGAGGTTAGGAAAAATAAAGATACAATTTTTCCCATCTCCTGAAACTTATCCACAAACTTCTTGGGGGTCCATTGACACCAGGCTAAGAAACCCTGCCCTAACTATTTAGAAATGTATTCTCCGGGTCAATATCTGGTTCTTGCCTTTTCTAGGAGCTTGGTAGTTTGGCAACAAGAGATCACGATAGGCATCATGGAGCACATGTTCCCTTCGCTTTCTTCAACCTCAGAAACCTTCCGAATAACAGGCACAGCATTCTTCTCTGAGGCAAGGCCCAGCACAGCTCACAGCGTGCTATTTTCCCACTTTGAGTTATTTTTCAGACTGCAAGACTTCTTCAGCCACTGAGATTCAGACCATTGTGGCCAAATCAAAGACAAAAATGATGTCATTTACTACTATTTCTCCAATTGTCTTCCCAGTTAGACTGACTTTCAGGATTCTATGAATTCTGACAGTGGAACACAGAAAAAAAATATAGAAAAATATAGAAAAGATAGAAATACTCTGAAATTACTGTTGAATCTAAAATTGTCATTGAGCTTGTAGCACAAAGACATCATTGCCCAGCCCTTTGGTGGATGATGTAAAAGCCCAGGTCACTTATAGTACATTCCAATACACAAGATTTTCATTGGAAACACACAGACACACAGACACGCACTCCAAGGGAAAACACACATTTATTTTTGGACTTTTATTTTTTTTATTTTTTTTTAAACTTTTACAAAGGGAAGTTTACTTCAAAGATATGGCAAGAGCAAACACAGAAATATTTTGAGTCTTAGGCCAGTTTTCTCCCTCCTTCTCGCCTCTCTATCCTAGATGTTCTCTAGATTCTCCTTTTTTTTTTCTTTTTCAATTTTTTAAAATAATTTATCTATTTTTAGTTTTCAACATTCACTTCCACAAGATTTTGAGTTCCAAATTTTCACCCCATCTCGCCCCTCTCCCCACCCCAAGATGGCATGCATTCTGAATACCCCATTCTCCTAATCTGCCCTCCCTTCTATCTCTCCCCCCCTTCTCTTATTCCCTTCCCCTTCAATTTTCTTGTAGGGCAAGATAGGTTTTTATACCCCATTTCCTGTATATCTTATTTCCCAGTTGCATGTGAAAACAATTTTTTTTAACTTTTATTTTTAAAACTTTGGGTTCCAAATTTTCTCCCTTCCTCCCTCCCCACCCACCCTCACTGAGAAGGCAAGCAACTCAATACAGATTATACATGTATAGTCATGCAAAACACTTCCATAGTAGTCGTGTTGTGAAAAACTAAGTATATTTCCCTTAATCCTGTCCTGCCCCCCATTTATTCTATTCTCTTTTTTGACCCTGTCCCTCCTTAGAAGTGTTTGCTTCTGATTATCCCCTCCCCCAATCTGCCCTCCCCTCTATCATCCTCCTGCTCTCTTGTCCCCTTCTTCCCCATTTTCCTGTAGAATGAGATAGATTTCCATTCCCAATTGAGTGTGTATGTTATTCTCTCCTTAAGCCAAATCCAATGAGAATAAGATTCACTCATTCCCTCTCACCTTGCCCCGTTTCCCCTCTACTGTAAAAGCCTTTTCTTGTCTGTTTTATGTGAGATAATTTACCCCATTCTACCTCTCCCTTTCTCCTTCTCTCCATATAATCCTCTCTCACCCCTTAATTTTATTCTCCAGATATAATCCCTTCATCTTCAACAAAACACACATATACACAGGTATACATGCTCTTCTGTCACAAAAAAGGCCTCACCTGCCTCTCTGGCTCTCCCACCTTCCAAAACACAAAGTTGAACTATAATGAGCCATCTTCATGCCACTCCAGAAGTCCAGGCTTTCTGTTTTATCAGTTCCATATAGCAGGCACCCTCAGAGGGGGAGAAAAGTTGGTGCCCTTATTGGAGTTCTTGGCAGCAGCCTGTCCCAGAAATCTATTGCTATGCCTTCCTGACTGCAACAACACTAGCAAATCCTGTCATATCACAAAGTTTCTGGAAATGATTCTATATGGACCCTCATCCTCAGGACCATCCATATCCAGAAACCTGTCTTCTGCCAACCACCACCAAATTGCTGACCAACATGTCAAGATCCAGCTATTCTCTCCTCTGTCCCTCATTTCTAAATTATATGCTAATTGATTCCTTTTCTTTCTTGTCTTCTAAAAAAGGAAGGAAAAGCTCTTAATTCCAAGGCTAATACTAAGTATGTTCATTTCAGCTCATGAAAGAACCACTCCTTTGGAAACAGGGGAATCTAAGAGAAGTTCTGTTTGTAATAGACCAGAGTGCCTGGGATACCAACACCACTTTGAGGCAAATGGCAATCAGAGGGCTTGGGAATGTGGCCCTTGGATCACCACAAAAAGTAAGAGAATTTATGAGGATTAAAGGGAAATCACATCATCTTGTCACTTTTTTAAGCTGAGATTTTTAATATTTTTCTCAAATGTATCCACCGCCTGCCAAAATTTAAGTAAAGACACTGCCAAATGAAATGGTGAAATGGAGGTCATGAATCCATGTGAACCCTGATAGAACTTAGTGGCTCCCTAATTCCTATAGCCTCTGGCAGTTGTTAGCATTAAGAGGCCTCTTTTCTCAACAGGTAAAGAAGAATAAGCAGATGCTGTTAGAAACAGTCATCAGGGGTCTCTACCACCTGACCCGTACAGAAGTCATCTGTGAGAGCCTGAAGGCATTGAAGAAAATCCTAGAATTGCTCACAGACAGAGATGTGAGCTTCTACTTCAAAGATATAGTGCTGAAAACAAGAACCTTCTTTGAAGATGTAAGTGATTCAGATCAGGACTCCTCCCCTATGAGGAGAGAAGTGACAAGTGTGGAGACCTAATACAGGCTCCAGGAGGGGCTCAGAGCAGAGTGAAGGACCTAATGCATGGCATCCCTCCTTCTATTATTTATCCTAGCTCTTCCTCCTCCTAAGTTTTCATCAGATCATAGAACCGGGGAAGTGTTCATCTACTCCATGTCCCAGCCTTCAGGAAGTATCACTGAAACATCCCAGGCAGGCGAGAATCGTTCTATATTTAAAGTCTGCCAGAGGAAAAGATTCAGTAACTTCTCTCAGTAATCCATTCCAATGTTTGTCCTCCCCCAGTATCAGGAAATCATATATTTGTCTAACCCAAATCCTGTTTCTTCCTCTTGTTCTGGTAAAGTGGAGATGGAAAACAGCTAGTCGTCAGTCTCTAAATAAGAGTTAAAGCATTTGAAAAGTATAATTGAATCATCCTGCCTACTTTTAGGATTAAAAAGCCTCATGTTCTTTCTATTTTCCCCCTAGCACCAATTGCCCAGTCCTTTGTGGTTCTCCTCTGAAGCCTCTCTGAATTCTCCAAGTCTTTCTTTAGCTCTGTAGCCCAGAATTGGACAAAATAATCTAGTTAAGTTTGGAGTAAGACTGAATGTAACATGTAAGGTAAAATTCTTTCACAATTCCAATCTTCTCCTGTTTATCAATCAACAAGTTTCTATTAAGCACCTGCCATGTTCTAGGTACTCAGCTAAGCAGTGGGGCTACATGTATAGAGAATGAAAGGATCCCTTCTCCTCCTAATTTCTTGTATGTTTTTGTGGTGATGGCTCTATAATCCTGATTTATGGTCAGTTGTTACCCTCTATGACCTCTCTGTTATTGTTTGCTGTACTTATACAGAGTCCATTCTGCAGTCAATAGTCATGAAATTGGGTTTTTTCCAACCTATGGCTACTGTCCAGCATTTATCCTCAATAAATTTCTTCATTTTGTTTTCTTTTAACTATCTCTCCAATTTACCAAGGTCATTTTGGATAAGAATCTTGTCCTCCAGGATGGGTGGCCCACATCCCACCCAGTACAATGTGCTCTCCAAAATAAATGAGCATGTTTCTTTTCTTCCTTCACACAGATAACTGATGACCAGATTCCAGGGCCCAAGAATTACCCTTACAGAGAACCACCTGTTGTACTCTTCCCCTGTGGTTTGACACTGATCCATTGATAACAACTCTCTGGGTCTGACCCTCCTGTCAATCATGCATTCACCTAACCTTTATGTGCTCTAGAATAGAGATGTTCTCAGTATCATTGGAGAAGATAGAATCTAAAGATTCACTGAAGTCAAATTAGATTATATCCTATCATTTCGCGTAGATCTGCCTAGGCTATCAGTTTGTCACAGAAGGAAATTAGATTACTTTGATAGGCCTTGGGCTTTCACAGAGCCATTTTGTTTCTTATGCATGTAGCCTGTTTTCTTCAAAGAGTTTACAAATTTATTTTGTGATTTATTTCAGCCTGTATTTTTCACTGTCTCACTTAAGTTTCTGGAATAGATCTGTAATTTTTGAATCATCACCTTTCTTTTTAAAATAGAGATACTGCATTCCTATTTTCTAATTTCCAGACATGGTGCCCTCTGGCCCTGCCTCAATCCCCAAGCTCCAGTACTCTAGGATTTCTCAAAAATGGTAGTTACGCAAATCACCCTGAGTCAGGAACTGGTTTTGGTATAAGTAGGAAGGCAGAGCAGCAGACTGGGGAAGCAGGAGACAATAGGAGGAATTATGTGCAGTAGATTGACCTAAACAATTTTGTCCTTTTTAAAGCTATAGAAATTGTTGGTTTAAATGACTGCTTTTTCTTGTATCATTATCTCAGTTTGCTCTCTTCTTGTAAGAAAGAGGGGCAAGTTTTTTTTATCCTGTTTCCCTTCACAATATGTAAATTGTACAATCCCAAATTCTTCCTTCAGTTTTCTGCTCTGATTACTATTTCTTATTCCTTCTTATGTCTTTTGGATGATCAGACACAGCTTCCTTTATACTGATAGAAATAATCATTCCAATGAATGATTATGAAGTAGTATTTGTATTACCCCAGTCCAGTGTGACAGAAAGAGTACTTTATGGAAAAATTAGACCTGTCATTCAGTGCAAAGGAATAGACATTTATTTGGCACATTTTGACTCACACAGCAGAAGATTTTGAAGTAGCTTTTCTTGAGATACCCAAAGGTGGAACATGGAGGGTTAGACAAAGATGACACTTGAACAACAATTGCCTTTCCAGAGCAACAAGGGAAGGAAACCAGGGCAATATTTGCCCTCAAACGAGAGCAGCAGTCAATACCTTACAGAGGCCACTGTTTATACTTAGTGCACTGTTGCAACTAAGCTCTTAGCCTTCCCAGGTTCAGTGGATAGGACTCTTGGGTTTGCATCAGGGCAGCTCAGGGATACTGTAGAGAGCTATGGATTTTACAAGGAGGGACAGGTTCTTTAGCCGGTACACCTGATTGACTTCCTTACTCATATGCCACAAGCAAGAAAGTGCCCATTAGGGTAGATGCATTAGAGATGGATATTTCTAACTTGGAAGTATACAAGCATAAAAGATTCCAGAAATGAAAGGGGCATCAGGAAGGAGTAGGTTATATCTACAACCAAGACAACCTTTTTCAAGAAAAACTAGGTCCAAACCTAGGTCAAAAACAAAACAAAATAAGACTACCATGATTTTTATTGTACTTTTAATAGTTTCCTTTAGATATGCCCAATGCTCTGACCATTTTTTGCCTCTTGCTTCCAATGGGTCATTTAAAATACTTCTCAAAATTTGAAGAAATCTTTCAAATGTATTTTTCTGTCTTTTCTCTTTAGGACCATAAGCTCTGACCACAAAACATTTTTCTGACAAACCAAAAATCCCAACTTGAATTACGCTGCACTTCCCCCACTTTCCCCTTCCTCATTCCATTAAAGGTTGTTCTAATTGTTGGCTGAGATGTTATACAGAAGACCAAAGAGTAGTTTGTAATTTAGGAAGATCCATAGAATCATATTCGAGAAAGGAGCAGATGTCTAAATGGCTGAATTCTCTCACTCTGAGCCCCCACAAATCATCTCTGAGTTTCCTGAATATCTGTTGAAGATTATTTAGGATTATGTCTGTTGGCCAGCTAAGAATACTTGGTCTCGTAGACCCTAGTGTAATGGTAAAAGCAGATAAATCAGCACCAAGTGCAATACCAGAAAGGCCTTAGAGAATTCAGTAGTTCAGACCCAGCATCCTGCTTCAACTGTAGCAATGGACTGCCATCACTATGGCCAACATCTTCCTTGGCTCCTTAATGGCAAAAAACTGTGCCTCTTATTTCCCTTACATCACATTTTTCCACCTCACTTCCCCCCATTTCTACCATTCCCCAATCCCTAATAACCAGATTCAGTTTTTTTTTTATTCATGTGGGAAGAAAACAGTTCCTGTCTAATCCAGGGGTTCTTAACCTGTGGTAAATGTATTTGAGATAGATAGATAGATGGATAGATAGATAGATAGATCTAGAAATAGATAAATAGATCTAGAAATAGATAGATAGATAGACAGAGACAGACAGACAGACAGATAGAAAGATGAGATTTAAGATAAGATAGGATAAGATAAGATGAGATAAGATAAGATAAGATGAGATAAGATGAGATGAGATGAGATGAGATGAGATGAGATAATGATAATTACCTTCCTGTGTAATCTTATATATTTTATTTTTTGCTTTTAAAAACATCCTGAGAAGGGGTTCATAGGCTTCACTAGACATCCAGAGGTGTCCAAGCCACATAAAAGGGTCAGAATCCCTGGACTAGTACCTCCTTTGCAGATTGCAGGGTTGGGTGTGAGGAAGGACCAGGAACTGAAAGTCTCACTCACCTAGAGGATGTGTTTGTGGCTACAGGAGCAGGATAATGTGAGGCTGACTGCATTCATCTTATTTGAAGATCTGGCATCTCTAACAGGAAAAAGGTGGAAAATGTTTTTTACTGAAGAAATTAAAAAGAGCATGATTTCATTCATTCTCCACCTCTGGGATCCCAACCCAAAGATAGGTACGGTAAGTGAAATAGCACAGAAACCCACCCCCTCTTTACTCTCTTTCCCCCGAGAGAGAACAGAGAGCCTGAGGACCCCCTCCACTGCTCAACTGAAGAGTCAGCTCTGCTCTGCCACTCAGGTGACAGAATCTAAAAGTAACATTTATGGTCTCTCCAAATCTCCTTCAGGGTTTCTTTCCTTTTCCATCTTTACAACTAGTATCAGCACCAATGAATGATAATAATGTTCCTAGTGCCATTAGCACTTCCTGTTTCTGACTCCCTTTGCTCCCCAGGATTCTCTCTTGGCTGGGATGGAGACACTCTAATTGTCGGGGGGGTCAAAGAATAGAGCAGGAAACTTTATTTTCCAGGCCTGCCGTGATGCCTTGGCTGCCTGTATCCCATTTCTTGGCATCCAAGATTTACATGCACTGCTGGACCGCTTTGTTGACTGCCAGGAAATGCCAAAGAACAGGGAATTCTATAGAGATCTATGCATGAAGCTGGTGAGTAAGGGGCAGGGATGCCAACGAATGCTTCAGGTTCTAAGAAAGGAAAGAGGGACCATCAGGCTGACAAGTCACATTCTTCTCCAGAATGATTGGAGTAAATTGCAGCTGGAGTAGATGAACACTCACCACAGTGAGAATGGTCATGATGGGGGCAGCTAGGTGGCACAGTGGATAGAGCACCGGTCCTGAAGTCAGGAGGACCTGAGTTCAAATTCAGCCTCAGGCCAAACACTTGACAGTTACTAGCTGTGTGACCCCAGGCAAGTCACTTAACCCCAATTGCCAAAAAATAAAAAGAATGGTCATGAGGGATAGTGGTACCTTCTCTCCACACTTGCCATCACTACCCTTCCACTCTTAACACCCTAGCTAAAGTTAGTGTTCTTTCCCTCCCCAAGCCCAGTGTGTCACTACAGAATTTAGGACAGTGTAGGGATAGGGCCTATACCTGTGAAATCATTCGCTGGTATAGGGGACCAGCAGGTGAAGGAATATCTATCAATGAAGGATGCTATCTTCTCCGCAACTTAGTCTTAGAAAATTCTCCAAAAACACTGAGACATTTGTGTGCAGCCTCATCCCAGAAAATATGGAAGGGAATAAAGTACAAGAAGACTGGAAAGAGAGGAAGGAGAGAGGCAGTGAAGATCTTTATGTGCCAAATAGGGACTATATAAGGGTTCTCTTATTTCCTCACTCCCTTTTAAATCTTTCCTTATAGGGCTTGTGAGAGGAAGAGAGTCAATTAATCCCTCTTCCGGATACTACCAGTTTAATGTTCATTTCTTCTAGGCAAAGAAGAACCAGGACCTACTATGGATCCTCCACACACACACGTTTGCCTACTTCAACAGTTCCTGGGAAGGAATCCGAAGTGGTGCAGCCAAACTAACAGGTCATGTCAAGCCTCTTCTGTCACTCTCATGCCTCACTTGCCTTTCCTGGTGTTTGCCCCAGTGAAACTCCAGTGTGGGAAAGAGATCTTGTCCCAGAAAAATAGGCAAGATCTCCTTTCCCCACAAAGAGATCCTGGCTGCCTCCCTTTGTGGATACCTTTTGTGTGTCCCCAAGTCAGAGATTCCCAGAAGCTTAGAGCTGGAAGGGACACTGAAGGCAACTTACTCCAACCTCAAACAAGAATCGCCGCTGTATCACAGTGTACCTGACCGTCGCTGACCTACCTTTGCTTGAAAATTGCCAATGATGGGGGCAGCTAGGTGGTACAGTGGATAGAGCTCTGGCCTTGGAGTCAGGAGGACCTGAGTTCATATTCAGTCTCAGGCACTTGACACTTACTAGCTGTGTGACCCTGGGCAAATCGCTTAACCCTGACTGCCTCACCAAAAAAAAGCAAAAGAAAAAAAAGAAAAAAGAAAATTGCCATTGATGGGCAACCCTTGGAGATATCACATTCCTCTTTGGGCAGGCTCCAATGATTAGGAAAGTTTTCCTACATCAAAACTAATACTGCACTTATGTACTTTACTCCCATCATTTGAAAATGCCTTCCCTCAAAAGGACTTGTTTCTTAGATTATAACCCAAATGTGCATATTTGTTCTTATTTCCCACCATGAACTCTAAGTCCAATTTATATCTTTCTCTTCATTGCCCTTCTGGTATACCAGGCTCATTCCAATCTCCCTGACTTTATTCACGTTGCCCATACACACTCAAACCCTCTACAAGCCAAAATGCCTTCCTTCTTAAGACCTCCCCTCTCAATTATGGAAAGAGTCCTATAGAGGAAATCTGAAAGGTACCTAGGTATTATCCTTGGCTCCCCACTCATACTTCCCACGTCTAATCTGCTGCCAAGTCTTATTGATTCTTCCATTTAGTTACGAGGTGCATCTTTCCTATGAACCCCCTTCTCTCCAGTGACATGGCCACCGCCCTGGTGTGGGCCCTCATAGCTTCATGCCTGCACTGTTGCAATACTCTGCTGGTTGTTCTCTGTGCCCCGAGTCTCTGCCCACTCCAGTCCATCTTTCACTCAGCTGTCCGACTGATCTTCCCAAAGCACAGGCCTGACCATGTCACCCCCATACCACCAGTCACTCCCTATCATCTCCAGAATCCAATATAAAATCCTCTGGCATTCAAAGTTCATCATAACCTAGATCCTTTTCAACCTTTCTAGTCTTCTTATACTTTACTCAATAGTATGTACTCTATGATCCAGCAACACTGGCCTCTTTACTGCTCCTCAAACATTACAATTCATCTCCCAACTCTGAGTATTTTTGTTGGCTGTCACCCATGCCTGGAATATTCTCTCTCTCCTCATCTCTGCTTCCAGACTTCTCTGGGCTCCTTCAAGTCCCAGGTTCTATCAGAAGCTTTCCTGATTCCTTTAAATGCTCGTGCCTTCCCTCTGTTGATTACCTCCAATTTGTCCTGTATACTGTTGGTTGGTACATAGTCATCTTCATGCTTTCACCCCCATTAGACTGTGAGCTCCTTGAGAGCAGAAGCTATCTTTTGTCTTTTTTTGTATCCCTAGCACTTAGCACATTGCCTGTCATGCAGTAGACACTTCATAAATGCTTATGGACTGACTGACTAACTAGAAACCTGGGTTCTCTAAGAATAACAGCATTTGTTATGTGATCAGAAAAATCACTTGAATGACTTTGATCTCATCTTCCTTCTCTGTGAAATGTAGGGAATGATCTCTTTAGGGTCTCTGCCGGTCCTAAAATTCTAGGGTTCAAGTTCTACTTTTTTTTCACTAAACTTATTCCAATTATCCCCCAACTCACACTGATATCTTCCTTACCTGAATTCCCACAGCATCTTTAGTTAATACTTAATCGTTCATAGGTTTTCGTCTAATCTTCCCTTGCTCAACTGGCACTTGTTTGAGGACAGAGAAATTGCATTACCCCTCTTGATTGCACACCCCCCCCTCACCCTGGTACCTTGCATAGTACTGGGCATATAGAAACCACTCAATATCTATTGAGTGATTCCAGCTGGAGCATTCATCCTCACATCTCCTTGAGAAGGAAAGTCCAAAGTAAAAATTTGCCTTGCATGTATATAACCAATATTTTAGCTCAGTTTTTAATAAGATCCCATTCTTCTTCCTCTTCCCCTCCTACCACCCCGTTTTTAACATTTGTTACCTCCAGTAATAAAGTAAATGTTCCCTCCTCCTCTTACATTTAGATGCCATTATTCAGAACATGACACCTCAGTTCTTGGAGATGCTGGACCGAGAACAAGTGGACTCATGTAAGTACCAACTACAGCTTGTGCCTACCTCAGTGCTGTATCGAAAAAGGAAGCAATATTGTGCTTCCTTGAATTCTGGGTGAACCTTGAAGCTGTAAAAAGATAGCACTACTTAATGTACTCGAATCAAAGCTAAAGAATCCTTCAAGAATGAAATTTCTCAAGAACTCCAAACTCAGATTAGAGTCCAAGACCATTTACTGAGCCCCACTCCCAGTAGTCATTGTCAACCTGCTTCTACTTTCTAAGATCTAAGGCCAGGCTCTTCTCTTCCTCATAACCCATAAATAGAGGATCCTTTCACCCACTTGCTAAAAGGTTGAATGAGGTAATGAATAAAGGTGGGATATTTAGTGGTTTTGTGATTCTAGGCAATTCACTTAACCTCTCTGATCCTCAGTTTCCTCATCTGTAGAATGGGAATAATAATAACAACACATATCTCACAGGGTTATGACAGACAAATAAAATAATGACTGCTTTGCAAACCTTAAAGTGATGTGTCAATGTGAGCTGTAGTGACTACTAGGGAGGCAGGATAGAGTATGCAAAAGACTGCCACACAGTGACCACAGTAATGTAAAGAAGAGC